AGTGCTAGAATCATATATAGAACGTACCTCCGTAGTGCTAGAATCAGATATAGAACATACCTCTGTAGTGCTAGAATCAGACATAGAACGTACCTCCGTTCTGCTAAAATCAGATATAGAAAGATTTCCTCTGTTGTGCTAGAATCAGATGTAGAACGTACCTCCGTAGTGCTAGAATCAGATATAGAACGTACCTCAGTAGTACTAAAATCAGACATAGAACGTACCTCCGTTCTGCTAAAATCAGATATAGAACGTACCTCTGTTGTGCTAGGATCAGATATAGAACGTACCTCTGTAGTACTAGAATCATATATAGAACGTACATCAGTAGTACTAAAATCAGACATAGAACGTACCTCCGTTCTGCTAAAATCAGATATAGAACGTACTTCCGTAGTGCTAGAATCAGATATAGAACGTACCTCGGCAGTACTAGAATCAGACATAGAACGTACCTCTGTAGTACTAGAATCAGATATAGAACGTACCTCTGTAGTACTAATATCAGACATAGAACGTACCTCTGTAGTACTAGAATCAGACATAGAACGTACCTCTGTAGTACTAGAATCAGACATAGATTGTACCTCAGCAGTACTAGAATCACATATAGAACGTACATCAGTAGTGCCAGAACCAGGTATAGAACGTACATCAGTAGTAGTAGAATCACATATAGAACGTACATCAGTAGTGCTAGAACCAGATATAGAACGTACTTCAGCAGTACTAGAATCAGATATAGAACGTACATCAGTAGTAGTAGAATCAGACCATCACGCAGTAGAACTAGCAGCCTAACCAGACCACCAGTCAGCTGTACGAGCGGTAGCTGAAAGGTTCTGAGCGTAACTGTGATGGAATGTGTCAATGACCGATGGACCGATCTGGGTTCTAATTATATTTCAACATAATCCCCTCCAATGCCCACACATCCTGGCTTCCCACTGGCTACTTCCTGGTGGTGCAAAATGTCATCCACATCAGAAATGACGTCATCATCATCTGCATAATACTTGCCAGACAGTTCTTTCTTCAAGGTAGGGAAGAAGCGGCAAAAGGAGGTTCAATGTATTCAAAGTCACAGTCATGCATTTCATCCATTAACAAGTGCATTGTCCTGTTGTACCAAACCTCTAATGAGTTTTCCGCGACGTTTAGACTTGATATTCTCACAGAGCTGCTTTAGCAGCTTTGCATGATAATCGACAATCATGGTCTGACCTTTCGGGAGGTAATCCACCAGAAGAATTCCTTTGGAAACCCAGAATCCCGAAACCATCACCTTGTCAGTGATGGATCAAACTTTGCCTTCTTCAGGGGAGAAGACTTGGTTCCACTGCTTTGGGTATTGTTTCGTCTCGATCTACAACTGGTTACAGATCGCAACACAAAATCAGCTCGGTCCGCTTCAAAACGATGGGAGATGAACCTAGGGCGTTTTCTTATAAGGATTCAGAAGCCTTGGAAACCAGCGTGCTGAAACCTTTGTCATGCTCAGTTCGTTCCTCAGAATGTTCTCAACTCTCGTATGACAGATGCCTACTGTATTGGTTGTGTGGCTGGAAGCGAGTCGTCGTTCGTCAATAATCACAGGACGTACGTTATCAGCATTGTGCTTATAGTGGTGGCAGTTGAAGGTCATCTGATCTTGGATCATCTTCGAGGCTCTCTCTCTCTCTCTCTCTCTCTCTCTCTCTCTCTCTCTCTCTCTCTCTCTCTCTCTCTCTCTCTCTCTCCTTCTTGAACACCTCTACCCACCTCTTAACAGTGGCAAAAGAAGGATCATCCTCGTTAGTCGACACCATGCCCGCATGGATGTGTGTTTTTTATTGGGTGATGACAGCGCGCAGCATACCAATCACCAACATGGAGAAATGAGCTGCCTGGTTGCGTATTTGGATCAAATGCAGGCTGTAAGCATGGAAAGTGGTGTACTGAATACACATATGAATAATGCAAACTGGTTAGGGTGTACTTTATATCCTTCGTAGTTTAACACCGAACTTTTCCGTCATCCTTCGTATATACTGTACATAATGGTAGACTTTGTGATGATGTCGTACATGGCATACTACGTGATTGTCTGTGTAATGTCATACCTTCATGAATGTTTGTGAAATGACATTCTTTGCTTTTGAATATAATGGCATACTTCGTTTATGATATCCATATAATGACACATCCTGTTCATGAATGTATGTATAATGAGTGAGTGAGTTAGTAAAAATTAAACGTCGCATCGGCATTATTTCAGCCACACAGCGACGTCTGTATGACATACGCGTGCCTGTGTGATATCATACCTTGTTAATACTCCGATGTGAATGTCTGTGTATTTATGAATATCGATATAATGTCTGGTGGTTCATGAATCTGTCTGATTCTATTTTTTAAAACGTGTTTGTATCGTTATCTGTCGTGCAGTTATCTTATTTTCGATCAAGAACGTTGATAGAACTTCATTTCGTTTATCCGACATACTCGTTAATCCGACATAATCATATGCAACCAACCATGTCGGATTAACGGGACTTGACTGTACCTCGTTCATGAAAATGTATAACGACATATATTGTTCATGGATATTCGTATAACGAACTATATTGTTCATGAATATGTGTATTACGGTATATATTGTTCATGAATATATGTATTACGACATAAATTGTTCATGAATATGTGTATTACGAGATACATTGTTCATGAATATGTGTATTAAGACATACATTGTTCATGAATATGTGTATTACGAGATACATTGTTCATGAATATGTGTATTACGGTATATATTGTTCATGAATATATGTATTACGACAAACATTGTTCATGAATATGTGTATTACGAGATACATTGTTCATGAATATGTGTATTACGACATACATTGTTCATGGATATGTGTATTAAGACACATATTGTTCATGAATATGTGTATTACGACAAACATTGTTCATGAAAATGTGTATTACGACAAACATTGTTCATGAAAATGTGTATTATGACACCCATTGTTCATGAAAATGTGTATTACGACATACATTGTTCATGGATATGTGTATTACGACATACATTGTTCATGGATATGTGTATTACGACAAAAATTGTTCATGAAAATGTGTATTACGACAAACATTGTTCATGAAAATGTGTATTATGACAAACATTGTTCATGAAAATGTGTATTACGACATACATTGTTCATGGGTATGTGTATTACGACATACATTGTTCATGAATATGTTTATTACGACATACATTGTTCATGAATATGTTTATTACGACATACCTTGTTACTGAATGTCCGTGTAACAATGCCATACCTGAAGCATGTTTATGAGTGTCTGAATAATCACACGAGACAATATATCATCCCGAGTAAACATTGCATTAGCATACAGGGCACGTACACAACAATGGACAGGGATTGTCATCACGTCGAAGCCATGTTGGGAAGACTATCGGCCTAATGCCTTGTCAAGACTCGATTTTTAACTGGCCGCCGTGGTATGGCAGGAGTACCGCTGTGTAGTGTCAGCAAATTGTGTGAGTGGCAGCTGCTACCGGTAGGGCAGGACATGCTTTCCATTTTCGCGAACACCTGGTGTCATCGCTGATTGTGATTTAAGTTTCACCAGTATATGCCTACTACGCCCAAAGGAATCTATTTCCGCGGATAATCGAGACAGATTATTCTCTGGCGTTAACGTAATATATTTACGCAAAATATAGATCCCATTTTCCTGAAATTCCTACTTTCGCGTGTTTCCTATCAGTGGTATTATAACGGTAGAAATGCTACGAGTAACCCACTATCAAGCTCGTAAACCCCACTTATGTAATAACTGAATGATGGCAATACGTTGGTTTACGAAGTGTGAGTTAAGGTTGAATAGTTTATCCCATGCATTACATCGCAAGATTACTAAAATATAATCATGTCTATAAAGTAGGTTCCAACCAACTCTTGAAAATATCTACCAGTGTGACAATTTGCATGTTTACATTTGTCCGCGTTCCTGGTCATGGGCGCGCGTGTTTGGTCGTGTTCATCTGCTCCTGTGACAGGACCCCGGGGCGAGTATATTCTGCTCCAGTGTATGTTATTTTGATTCACATTACTGTCCGTCAAAGGGGAAATGAGCATGACAGAAATGCTGCTGGTTTTTTATTTTACTTACACGAATTTATGATAGTTAAAATGAGTCGCCTTGATGGCTGTTTCCTCAGAGACTTAAAATGGGACGTTCTCTTGTACGTTGTCAGTATATGGTCGACGTTGTGAGTAGTTTCTGGAGCGAGGATGCCAATCCCGCCTTCCCCTGAATCCCGAATACCATTTATTTATTAACTCTGAATCTCATCCCTCACCCTTGAATCCCGAATCCCGAATACGACTTCACACAAATCTCAAAAATATTGAGACGTTAATTGCTGAAAAAATCTCGCCCCGCATACCACATTGCTGAGTCAAGAATACCCCCTGAATAGACCCCCGAATCCGGCGTACAGGGTTGGCAGCCTCTAGAGTGACACCAAGACACTTTCTCGGTACCATCTCGGTATCTGGGTATCATTTGCCGTTGGATAATATGCATTATAAAATTTGAGTAAGCTGACAAAAAAAGGTTGTGGTTAAATCGATTAGCACCCTTAACCATTTGTACACTCTGTGTAACGTCTACGTGTTGTTATACACATAGATACGAGACAAAGCCAAGATTAACATATATGTACACCCCCGTGTCAGAATAGTGGACCAATATCATAATTCAGTACCATTTACGATGCCTTTCTATAAGTATCCTTACAAGTTTAATACATTACTAATAGGTATGGTATAGATAATAGTTGCTCTAGGTGCCGTACAGTTACTTGTCATTATATATGTTGAGATCAATTTCATTTCCCAATTGTGCTGTGGATCTATAATCCCAGTTTAAGGACTATGAACCGAAATACCTTCAGTCAGGGTATAGTCTTACAACTTAAGTCTCACCATCGCTTTTCGGTTGTCTTCGGTGAGGTTGGTGTAGTATGTCCATGCTGTTTCCTCCGATGTGTAATACACCCGCTCACTCTCGGCGTTTTGACTCTCTAAGAACGCAACTGCACGTGCACGTTCCGAGGCGTTCTGCCCAGTTACTCCAGGGGTGCGCATGATGCCCACGCCTAGCAGCGCGAGACACAGGAGATGTGCGCGCATGTCTGTGTGAGATGCGACTGGCGTGAGAAGGGAGGCGTGTTGATATATAGAGGATTAGGCTTCCTTGTCAACGCCGAGGTCACAGGATGTACCGTCCCATCTCTCACTCACTCACGACATTTATCTGTGCCGCAAACGATACTGTGCTAATTACTTATTTATGACTAATCACATTCTTTACCTGGATATAGATGTCAAATAGTGAGGCATTATATACCTGTGTTGTTAGATATTGTCTCTATTAGGAATATTGTTAGATGTTGCCTCCGTTATGTATGTTCTTAAATGTCGTTGTATGTTCTGCATGTTGTTAAATGTTGTTGTCTCTGTTCTGTATGTTGTTAAACGTCGTTGTATGTTCTGCATGTTGTTAAATGTTGTTGTCTGTGTTCTGAATGTTGTTAAACGTCGTTGTATGTTCTGCATGTTGTTAAATGTTGTTGTCTCTGTTCTGTATGTTGTTAAACGTCGTTGTCTGTTCGGCATGTTGTTAAATGTTGTTGTCTGTGTTCTGAATGTTGTTAAACGTCGTTGTATGTTCTGCATGTTGTTAAATGTTGTTGTCTCTGTTCTGTATGTTGTTAAACGTCGTTGTATGTTCTGCATGTTGTTAAATGTTGTTGTCTGTGTTCTGAATGTTGTTAAACGTCGTTGTATGTTCTGCATGTTGTTAAATGTTGTTGTCTCTGTTCTGTATGTTGTTAAACGTCGTTGTCTGTTCGGCATGTTGTTAAATGTTGTTGTCTGTGTTCTGAATGTTGTTAAACGTCGTTGTATGTTCTGCATGTTGTTAAATGTTGTTGTCTCTGTTCTGTATGTTGTTAAACGTCGTTGTATGTTCTGCATGTTGTTAAATGTTGTTGTCTGTGTTCTGAATGTTGTTAAACGTCGTTGTATGTTCTGCATGTTGTTAAATGTTGTTGTCTCTGTTCTGTATGTTGTTAAACGTCGTTGTATGTTCTGCATGTTGTTAAATGTTGTTGTCTGTGTTCTGAATGTTGTTAAACGTCGTTGTATGTTCTGCATGTTGTTAAATGTTGTTGTCTCTGTTCTGTATGTTGTTAAACGTCGTTGTCTGTTCGGCATGTTGTTAAATGTTGTTGTCTCTGTTCTGTATGTTGTTAGATGTTGTTGTCTCTGTTCTGTATGTTTTTAAACGTCGTTGTGTGTTCTGCATGTTGTTAAATGTTGTTGTCTCTGTTCCCCATGTGGTTAAATGTTGTTGTCTCTGTTCTGTATGTTGTTAGATGTCGTTGTCTCTGTTCTGTATGTTGTTAAACGTCGTTGTGTGTTCTGCATGTTGTTAAATGTTGTTGTCTGTGTTCTGTATGTTGTTAAACGTCGTTGTGTGTTCTGCATGTTGTTAAATGTTGTTGTCTCTGTTCTGTATGTTGTTAAACGTCGTTGTGTGTTCTGCATGTTGTTAAATGTTGTTGTCTCTGTTCTGTATGTTGTTAGATGTTGTTGTCTCTGTTCTGAATGTTGTTAAACGTCGTTGTATGTTCTGCATGTTGTTAAATGTTGTTGTCTCTGTTCTGTATGTTGTTAAACGTCGTTGTGTGTTCTGCATGTTGTTAAATGTTGTTGTCTCTGTTCCCCATGTGGTTAAATGTTCTTGTCTCTGTTCTGTATGTTGTTAGATGTTGTTGTCTCTGTTCTGTATGTTGTTAAATGTTGTTGTCTCTGTTCTCCATGTGGTTAAATGTTGTTGTCTCTGTTCTGTATGTTGTTAAATGTTGTTGTCTCTGTTCTGTATGTTGTTAAACGTCGTTGTGTGTTCTGCATGTTGTTAAATGTTGTTGTCTCTGTTCCCCATGTGGTTAAATGTTGTTGTCTCTGTTCTGTATGTTGTTAGATGTTGTCTCTATTAGGAATATTGTTAGATGCTGCCTCCGTTATGAATGTTGTTTAATGTTGTCTGTTCTGCACGTTTTTAAATGTTCTTGTCTCTGTTCTGTATGTTGTTAAACGTCGTTGTATGTTCTGCATGTTGTTAAATGTTCTTGTCTGTGTTCTGAATGTTGTTAAACGTCGTTGTATGTTCTGCATGTTGTTAAATGTTCTTGTCTGTGTTCTGAATGTTGTTAAACGTCGTTGTGTGTTTTGCATGTTGTTTAATATTGTTGTGAACGTTACTAATGTTGTTAATGTTCCTGACACTGGAAGTATACTGTGAAGAGAACAACCTAAAGACACAAAATCACATTTCAAACTATATGGCTATACCAGTTTTAGCGTTATGATAGTGTAATAAAATAAAGAAATGCCCTTGTTTCAAGTTGAACGCCGTTGTTATCATGATAGACAGGAGGCGGTTTGCTTACATTGGATGCGGTGTATCGTCTTTATGAAGCTTAAAATTCCGCCTTGCATCTGATCTGAGGTGGGTGTTATAAGTGAATAACGTGACAGGTCACTGATGTCATGTTACTAATGAGCTGTAACCCAGATATCTACAGCTAGAGTTTCGTAATGTGTCCATCTATTCAGTGCCATAAGAAGGCATTGTCTTCAGATGATGGCAGACGTCGGAGAACATATGTCCGTGTGTTAAGGGTCCAATATTGTGTTTTGATATCGACTAATGTTGGGCTGTTTGTACTCTGACGCGGACCCGATATAACGACGTCCCCTTTAAAACAATGCGCTGGGACGGTCGGGTCGCCTAGTGGTTAAAACGCCGAAGACCCGGGTTCGATTCCCGACATGGGTACAATGTGTGAAGCCCATTACTGGTGTCTCCCGCCGTGATATTGCTGGAATATTGCTAAAAGCGGCGTAAAACCTCACTCACTCACTCACTCACTCACTCACTCACTCACTCACTCACTCACTCACTCACACAATGCGCACTGGCGTCTTCCAGCATCTGAAGGCAATGCCTACTTATGAAACTGAATAGCTAGAAATATTACGAAACACCATCTATATAAAGAAATTGTTTTGGGGCACATCTTTCTCAAACATGAGGAGGGCGTCAGAACATTTTTATGAATTGAAAACAAAAGTGATGCCGGGAAACACCTTGTGTATTTTCCCACCAAGAATACCAAGAAATAGAACGGGGAACACATTGTACTAGACCCTTTAAAACAATGTCAGTTGTCAAGTATTATATTTTATTAACAACAGTATGCTTTATACGAAAAAAAGTAGTTGGTTTTTTTTCTTTGATATTACAATAAAATTGACAAACCGCGCAGGATTTAAAGGCACGCGTCGATGCCGGAGAAACATTTCCATTTTTAGACTTAACTGCCAGGCAAAAGAAAGTATACACTTGAAAATACCTGCTTCATAATTACTGTGTCCTGTGAAATTCCTTTAGACGTCACGTGCACGTCACCTGTTGTGAGATACTCATTGATATGGTGTATGTAAGATCCTCTATGATACCCGTATCAAACACATCACCATCCAATAACCATTTCTTGTTTGTTTCATTTTTAGGCACCATCAAACATGGGCGTATGCTTCCTTTTCGCCGGCGGTTTAGTAAACAAAACTTGAATAACAGAATAGATGTACAGTAAAGTACGGTTATAACGAACTCAAAGGGACTGCTAATTTTTGTTCTTTATAACCGTAGTTCGTTATAAGCATATAAACAGCATAACTACAACAAATAGTCGGGACCAAAAAAGTAAGTTCGTTATATCCGTCAGTTCGTTATAAGCGTGTTCGTTATAACAGTAGTTTACTGTATATTGTGCGTCAACATAATTAGAAACAGAAAACATGGAACAAACAGGTCAACCACCACATACACTTCTACTTGATAGCACCGTAAGGGGCGACTAACGGGATCGGGTGGTCAGGCTCGCTGACTTGGTTGATGCATGTCATCGTATCCCAATTGCGTGGATCGATGCTCATTATGTCAGTCACTGGATTGTCTGGTCAAGACTCCACGATTTACAGACCGCCGCCATATAGCAGGAATAGTGCTGAGTGCGGCGTTAAACAACAAACAAACAAACAACTTGATAGCAACTTCTGGTCCCAAACCCATGCGCGTCAACCTTAAATAGAAAACACTACACACTGTATATCATGGAGGGCCGATTGATAACCCTGTGGTTAAAGCATTGCCTCGTCGCGCCCGGGTTCGAGTCCATGCATGCACTGAAGTATTCGAACCTAGAAAGCATGTGAAGGTTACGGATCTATCACATGCATGTGAAGGATCCGAACATGGAAAGCATAGAGAGGATATGCATCTGGCATGCACGTGGCTCGTGCATATCAAAGCAAGGAATATTTGATTTATATAGGCGATACCTTTAATATATGATATACTGAATATCCATAATAATACGACTGGTCTTCCAAGTGTCACAACCTACACCTGCCGTTTAATCCCCCCTGACATTGAGAAATGGATGCCAATGGGTACCTCTCCACTACAATCATTACATGACCAGGAAGGTGGGAGCCTGATTTGACGCGGACCTGCTGTTGGCGTGTTCACACGCCCTGTTTTGTATTCATTGTCGAAGGAGGTCGCAACCGATGTGACCTTTGTTTGGAGGAAGAGGAATAGTTGTGCTGTCTCACAGGACACGCCTACAGTACCGTGACGCGCACTTTTTTCAGAAATCCCTTTTTTAAGTGAAAGAAAAACCGATTTAAGCGGCTTTTTGCCGACTGAAGAACTGATCGACACCTTTGTATTGTGTTACGTCGCGTCTCTCTTATGAGTGGCGTTAGATGAGAGAGGTATTACGAGATAGTTATGTTTAGGATTATTATTATTTATCAATTGCATTTGAACAAAATCGAGACTTGTTTCCTGCTTAAGAAATCTTGTTGAAGAAATGTCCTGTTTCCTGCATATTGCATAGGTAGAATCTCTCAGCGGCTGCTGACTACTGCTGTCTGCACGTGCTCTTTGTGTGTGACATGGTCACGTGGCTGCATGATCTGCGTGTGGCATTGTTCGCTGTGTGCACGATCCATACGTGGTGCACTGTGTGGTGCACTGTGTGTTTCCCGCAATATCACTTGGGGGAACA